CATAAATCATGTACCATGTTACAAGTCAAAATTATATCAGTAAATGATTAAAAAATAAAACAAAAGAATAAAGAAGAGTGCTTAAAAATGTGTCATTTAGCTAAATGATAAAAAAAAAAAAAGCAGTATCCTAATAGGCAAATGTAGAAAGTTAATTCTTAAAGCAGAAGGTACATTGGAAATGAGTATCTGGGAAGACTGAAAAACTTTGAATTCCAAGGATTTTGAACTTTCTTTTGTTTCCTGTGAATGGCCTTTTATGTAAGTCCATTTTATTTTTGATAAGGCAAAGTGACATGATGAGCTGAATGAATTTCATGATCTTGTTGTGTTATTTCCCCCAACAATCTATGGTGAGGGTGAAGGTGAGGTTTCTCCTTTAGCCTCACCATAGATTTATTGGGGAAACTCAGGAGTTTGTGCACAGTCCAGCAAGTGGTTCAAGAAATTTCTGCCATAAAAATGTCGATCAGGGGCCCTCCCTGGTGATGCAATGGGTTAAAGCACAGCACTGAGAATCTAAAGCCGCTTGCGCATGAGTTCGATTCCCACCTGCCCCAGAGGTGACCACATGGTGTGGCAGACCTCTCCTGACCCGCCCGCTGCTCCCCTCAGCAGTGTACTTCACCGATCTGCCTGTTCTGTTCCCCGCTCTGTCTCTGGTGAAGCCTCTCGCCGCCCCTAAGCCTCTGGCCTGTACCCCAGTTCTGTATACACAAATAAATAAATCTTTTAAAAAAAAAATGTCAATCAGAAAAAAATGGTTTTCAGCAAATTGATAGTATTATTGAAATATTTTATCTTTATTATTTATTTTTTCCAATTTATTATAATACTGTTTAACATAATTGAGAAACAATCTGTTTGTAAAACAATGATTTCAAGAAGTAGGCAGAAAAATGTTTAAGTTGCAATTTTTTAGGCTTATGTTAATAAACAGCACCCACATTTTAATAACACAGGAACTAAAAACAGTCTTAACATCTTCAGATATCAGGCATCCTTTTGAATATAAGATGAAAGTAGTTTTTTTTTTAAGGTTTATTTATTTATGCATACAGAACTGGTGTGCAGGCCAGAGGTTCAGGGCTGGCGAGAAGATTCACCAAAGACAGTGGGAGGCAGAATAGGCAGACTGATGAAGTACACTGCTGAGGGGAGCAGTGGGTGAGACAGAAGAGGTCTGCTGCACCATGTAGATCACCTCCAGGCAGGGGATGTATTGAAGCAGCTGTGGCCAGCTTACAGTTCTGCATGCATCCTAACCTGTTGAGCCACCAGTGAGAGCCCTGAAAATAGTTGTTTTTTTTTTTTTTACAGAAAAATGCTGTTCCATTTTTGTAAAGGGTATTCCTTACCTTCTAAAGTCTATCATTTATAGATGTCCATTGTCTTCAGTTTATAGAATTCTGACAGAAGTTTGCAGAGTACAAGATTCAGAGTGATGCATCAGAGACTGAAGAAGTCCCATTAGTGTCCAAACTACCCAGAGGGATTTTTTTAAAAGCTTAAATCTCTGGATTCTTTATAAATACTTCTCTTAACTGAAATTAGTGAAAAAGCATTTAATTATAAAAGTTCTAAAAGTTTGCATTGCTTTTATTTTGTGGAAACTGCTATATACCGTAAAAGCAGTAAAATAGAAAAATAGATTCCTGAACTGAAATGGAGATGACCTTAGCATTTCCTCCTGGTAATTTAACTTACTGAGCTTCAGTTTGTGCTGTTTTTAAAGTATTTAAGGTATTGGACTATTTAAGGTATTAAAGTATTTAAGGTATTGGACTATATTATTTTAAGCCATCTTAATTTCTAAAATTCCATAATTTAAATTAACTCATGTAAATCTAAAAAACCAAGACAAATAACTAACTTCTTTTAAAAATGGGAATAGCTACAATTATTTCCACAGTAACATATTTTCAGGAAGTGATTCAAAGCTAGATGTGGTTGAATTAATAAATTACTGAATTTGCAAAAGTGGGCGATAATTAAGTTGTTACGCTCAACCCATATTAATTATTAATAACTTCTTCAAGTCTTTGAATATGAAGGGTTTTCTCCAAGAGAGCTCCTGAGTGGGCTGTCTGAATGATGAATCATCTCCCCCTCTGTAGTGGTATTGCCCCAGATCCAAGGTAGTCATAGACACCACCAGAACATTTAACTGTGGTTGCCTGTGTTTTACTTGGCTTTTAACTACAAAAAAGAAAAAAAAAAAGGTGAACTTTCAATATTGATATCATCATCCTTTAGACTGCAGGAGCAAAAGATTTTCTTGGCGGTAAAGAACTCTACATTAAAAATAATAATAATATTACTGCACTCAGCCAATGCTCCAGTCATCTGAATGCACTCACCATTTGTGTGGCTTTAATTCTCACTGCACATATGCCAGGCCAAGGTTTGGAAATGCATCTGGGTAGCAGAAGCCAGTCAGTGTAGCCTCCTCCATCCCCTTTTGTTGTCTGTTTTTGCAACATATGTTAGGCACCAAAGAGACAAACAAGGACAAAATGGTTTTCTCTCCCATATGGTTTGCTGCCAGAGATACAAAGCCTTACCAAAGCATCAGATTTCAATTTTCTGACTGCTGAGAAAGCCCACTATCTTGTTCTATCCCTCACAATTCTACTCAACAAATATTTTCCCACTAAGTAGAAAGAAATGTATTCCAACAGAATGTGGGATTTTTTTATGTATTCCTCTTCCAATTTCTGATCATTAATACTGTATCTGTGGGGTTCTACCTATTGTGCCCCATTTCATATAAATGTAGTTTCACATAAGGGCTATATAGTAATATATTTTGAGCTGGATTAAAACACAGATGTGTGTATATAAATGACTTTTATTTTATGAACTAACTGAAATTTCTGTTGGAACTGATTTATATTTCTCTGGAAATAACTTTAAAAATGGTAATAGAATTCCAGATTAAGAAAGGAGGAGAGGGAGAAAAAGAAGGGAGGGAGAGAAGTCTAACTTAAAGTACAAAACATAATATTATATGTATTTTGTTGCTTGCAAATCTTCCTATTCCATTTAAATGGAAACAGTACCCTTAGGGAGCAAGGGGGAGCAAGGACCATTTCTTTCAATTGTGTAAACAGTGGGTCTTAAAAGAAGACACGGGGCTCCTACCCTGTGGAGGGATGTGTCAAGTTATGTGACAACCTTTCAAGAAGGTACAGGATCCCACAAACTGAGGTCAATGATGCTACCTCAGCTGTTCCTTTTGCCAAGCAATTTTAAATTGGATATTTTAATATCAGATTCTCAAAAAATGATTAAACTCTTCCCTATAAAGTGTGGCAATCTAGAAATATGTTTGGGACCTTAGGAATCTGTTAATGTTTTCAACTGGTTAGTTGAACATGGCTGTATATTTCTAAAGTAGCAATTTCTTTTGTTTTAAAAGTTTTTATTAAGCATTCAAAAGAGAAACCACTAGAATTTATTTATATATTTCCATCACTTGGATTTAAAAATCAGTATGATATTGATTCATTTGTTTTGGGTATTTTTCTTTTTCATTGCCAAAATAGTGTTGCAAAAGCTAACTTGATAGTAATATGTATATTTCAGTAATACAACTCTACACAAATTACATCTTGCACAATACCAATGCTATTATAACATACAACGGCAGTATTTTTTATAATATAATGATCTGTTATACTTAATTTTCCTTCATTGCCTTAAAATCTATTTTATGTTTGCTTTGTCAAATCAGTATTCAAATAAGATCCTCATACTGTGTTGGCTATACCATTATAAGCAGTCCCATCTCCTTTTTTTTTTTTTTCCACAGCACTGACTGCAAGACTGATTTCAGTGTCATTAGTGCCATGATATTCAGTGGCAATTATTCTTTTCCTTCAAGCATTACTTATTTTTTTACATATCCTCTAATTGGATATGTAAAATGTCATTTCCTAAAATATTATAGTAATGTATTCTATTTGTAATAACTTTGTATTTTGATTAATTTTTGCAATACTTTGTAATAAATGTTATTATGGAAAATTAAAGCATTTGATTATCTGCCATGAATGATGGGAGAATAATCTAAATTAAAACACTATTAGTTTCATAATATGATGAATAATTTACACAAATCCTGCTGTTCTTTTAATGACATATTTTTATGGTTCCTTAGAATTTGTGGGCTTTAGCATAGGGGGCCCTTCCTAATGTTGAAAGTGAACATTAAGAGGAGTATAGGCCAGATTTTGAGGAATGTTTACTTGCAAAACAAAAGCTTCTTTACTTGTTTGACTTTGAACTGTGCCTCTAAGATGGAGCTCTAGATGGTGTCTCTTCAGATAAATAACCGGTTAGGATTTTATTTGAATAAATGTTAGGATTCTATTCGAATAAACAGTAGGATTCTATTTGATGCAGTGGATAATAAACTGCAGTAGTTTTGCTAACTGGCTTCCTATTAGATGAAACTAATTGCAGAAAATACATATTATGTTGCATTTCTCTCCCCAGTTGTCTTCTGTTAACAAAGACATAGAAATGTGAAAGCTGAAAGAACTATGTATTGGCAATAGTTAACAGCGACATTTCTTATCCTCAGAATGTTGTGTGTAGACACTATCATTATTTCCAATGTAAAGATGAGGAAACAGTTATGAAAAGCTTATGTTATTGTCCCAAGGTTACAGGCTTCTAAATGTAGAATCCAGGAATTGAAGAACAGTCTAGCTTGCTTTATTTATTTATTTATTTATTTATTTATTTATTTATTTATTTATTTATTTATTTATTTATTTATTTTGCTATTGTACTATCTCGCCAAATAGTAAGTAATGAGTGTGGTGTCTTATAAGCACCAGGTGGTAGAGAAACGTTTCTCTGTCCTTGAACCCAGAAACTTCCAGTACCTCTTAACCCATGTGCAACCTATATAGGATTTTAAAGTAAGTATTTTCCTATAATCATATATTCATTTGATGATAACTTAGTGAATGTTATTTTCCTTTAAACAGGTCATCAATAATCTTGGCCCTTTGGAACTGATTCTTAATACTCCTAGCCATCATAGGGTTCATCATGGTAAGGGAATTTGATCTATTCTTTCCTTCCTTCTTTGTCTCTAAAAAATCGCATTTTGAGGTCCTCCCTAGTGCACAATGGTTTAGGATGTGGCACTGCAAGCTAGCCGTAGCTGCTTCAGTGCGAGTTCGATCCCCAGTCCTGGAGGTGACCATATGGCTAGGCAGACCTCTCCTGACCCACCCATGCTCCTCTCAGCAGTATACTTCGTTGATCTGCCTGTCCTGCTCCCCATTCTGTCTTTGGTGATGCTCTCACTGCCCCTTCATCTCTAGCTTGTACCCCAGTTCTGTATGAATAAATAAATAAATCTTTAACAAAAAAAAAAAATAGCATTTTGCAGCATTTCATCAGCATTACCCAGTACAGTATACACTGGGAAGATAGGCCTCATTTCTTTTTAGTACATGGACAAGCCTCATCTCCAAAGCAAGGACTGGAGTAGGAAAGCAAAATCTTTTCATATCTGGCTTTGACATTTTCCCATTTTAGCCTAGATCTCTTCAGTAGTAGTGGAAAAATAAATTAACCAGGTAAAGGTGGGACATTTGTATCTTGATGAATCCTGTTGATGGCTACCCCTTGACCTAGTGCTGAGGGTCAATCCTGTCTACAGCCACACAGTGCCTGTTCTTGAAAACTGTTGAGATTCATGGAAGTCTAATAAACAGTACTTCACTTCCCTTCCTGAATTCTGTAATTCTCAACATATGCTACATTTGCCTGAGAACAAAATCTCATGTGACTAGTGCCTAAGCATTAAAATACTGCTTGTAATGTCCTCCCTGATGGTGCAGTGAGTTAGGACACAGCACTGCCAGCTATTCGCAGCCACTTCAGTGCGAGTTCAAGCCCCAGCCTCAGAGGTGATCCACATGGTGTAGCTGACTTCTGCTGACCCACCCGCTGCTCCCCACTCTGTCTCTGGTGAAGCTTCTCACTGCCCCTGCAACTCTGTCTTGTACCTCAGTTCTGTAAACATAAATAATTTTTTTTAATACTGCTTGTGAAATAGCAGAAATGTTTGCTTTTGTGCATCAAAATACCTGTTCTGGAATAGGCATATTACCATTGTTTGGAATAGGCAAAAATATATAATTCCAAATACAAGTCCTATTGTCTGTCGGCAGTAGGATAGTATACAAACTTCATGTAACGGAGAATTACATGGCAGTGAAAATATTCAAACTCTTGCAACATGAAGTGATATGAAGAAATCTCAAGCATATTGGCAAGAGAAGGAAGCCAGTACTAAAAGAATAAATATTATTGTTCTGTTCTTGTTTCTAGATAACACATACACTACTGGAACACTGTGACCACTCTTCCTGAATGGGCTTGAACCTTTCCCCATGGCAGGGAGTAGAGTAGAGCATTATTTCTTCCTGAGTGAGAAGAATGGTTCACACTTGACACACCATTTCCTCTTCCAAACGCAACATTCATTCTTTCCCTCCAGAGAATTGGTAGTGAGTGGGAGGAGAGACCAAGAGTGTTAGGCTTTTTAGGTTCTCTCCAACTAACAGGAATGTAGGGAGTAGATCAGAATAAATCCTCATCAAAGAAGTAGTTGATCATTTCCTCTGTTGACTGAAGAGTATTTTCTCATTCCTGTTGCTTTGTATCAGTTTCTCAACCTAAGCCCTAAACATTTTACATTTGTCTAGGCTGTCTTGTATATCATAAGAGTTGGTCTCTACGGACTAGATGCCAGTAATATTCCCTCCCAGTGTTACCACCAATGGTGTCTCCTCTTCCTGTCACCTGGTCTCAAGGACAGAGTGCACCCCCTTCTAACTAAGAGCTACTGATTAGTTTACCTGTTGCCTTTTTCTGGGTCATTTCATTTTAATAATTACTCTTTACTCCTAATGAAAGGACTATTTGAATTATCCTATCTTCTAAACAACTGGAAAATTATGAGCGAAAACATTATTTTAAGCTGAAATACTTCTATGTTTGTGTAATTTTGTATATTGTACCATTAATTTCTATGTAGATACTGTATTGTATCTAGAATTGATTTAGGGGTATAGGTTCATATCTTTTGAGGTGCTTATTGCCAGACCAAACCCCCCCACCAGAATGTCCATAATATAAAGAAACCTTTGCTCTTTTGTAGTAAAATTAACTTTAAAGTTAATGAAATGAAAACTCAATTTACTAAGAAATGAAGTCTAGTTTTGTCAGTTGTAGGTTTAATGAATTAATCAGATGTTTTATAATGGATATAATAGAGATAAGCTACTAACTTCTGTGAGTACCACATGTGCCCTTGATCGTGTTAAATGGGCATTTCCTTTGCCTGCCTGCCTCCCTGCCCCCAACATCACCCTGCCTGGCCCATGTCTGCGTCCTCGTGGTTCAGCCCCCTTAACTGGTGGGCTTGTGTACCAAGTTCCCTGAAAGAACATTACAGCCTGAAACATCCACTGAGGGCTTTATCCACCTTCACTATCCATAATAACATGCCCTGTGCTTGCTGGAACTAGATCAGTACAAAGGCATTCCTAGGGAAATCATTCTGTTGCATGCCTTCATTCTGTGAGTGGGGTCCAGATATAAGGCAATGAGGTATTAAAAAACAAAACACTTTATTGGGCCCTCCCTGGTGGTGCAACAGGTTAGGATGCAGCACTGCAAGCTGGTCACAGCTGCTTCAGTGGGGGTTCGATCCCACCCAGAGGTGAACCACATGGCACATTGGACCTCTCCTGCCTCACCCTCTGCTCCCTCAGCTGTGTACCTTGTTGACCTACCTGTTCTGCTCCCCACTCTGTCTCTGGTGAATCCTCACACTGCCCCTGTGCCTCTAGCCTATACACTAGTTATGTATGTATAAATAAATAAATCTTTAAAAAAAAACTATCATAATTTTTAAAAATATTTTGTCTTATAGGTAGAAACCGTTACTGCATAGATAAAAACTATGCTGGCACCCTTATTATATGGGATAGAATTTTTGGTAAGTAAAAAGTATGAAAATGTTAACATTTCAATTTGTTCTTTAATTTACAGAAAGTCAAAGATGATATCTTTCATGTCTATCTTCTAGGAACATTTGAAGCAGAAAATGAAAAAGTATCCTATGGTCTAACGCATCCTATTAATACATTTGAGCCATTCAAAGTGCAGGTAATGTAGTTGGTTTATTCTTTCTGAGTATATCATAGCCTGTCAATGTTTATATTAAAAGGGAGAATCCATTGTTGGAAGATTTAATACACTGAACAACCCTGAAAATAAAGATTTTAACCATAAAGGAATTCTGAAATAACACTGACACGCAAAGACTTAAATCGATTGGGGAAGATACATTCAAAAGCAACTCCTGTTAAGAAATTAAAAAAAAAAAAAAGTATTCTCCCAGAATAAATTAAAAAATGTAGCTCGTCAGGATACATTATTTCTCAGAATAGACCTGATGAATATTCATGTGCTCAGAAGGAGTGGTAGTAAAATATATAATGTGGGCTGATCCTGTGGTGAGAAAAATATTTGCTTCAAGCCTGCAATACTCTGGTTAGAAATTCAACATGAGGCCTTTGCCCTGTTCTTCTTGGAACCAAGTGTCAGGAGCTATTACAGGTTCATTGGACTACACATTGCCTCACCTGCTGCAGCTTGTTATGCTGAAGGAGGTTTCTGCTGGACATGTGGTATTGGTTGTTAGCTGGTCTCGATAGCTCGCACTAGAGAAATGAGGAATGTCTGTGCAGCTCTGATCCACCAGTCAGAACACCACAAATACTCCCGGGATTAGGGACTAGTAAATGAGAACAAGATAATGCTTGAAAACCTGAAAAGGTCAGTCAAGACCACTCTGTCCAGGGGATACAGCTTTCCATAAGGGAGGGAATTAAAGGTCGAAGAAGACTGCCTGGTCAAATTGTTAAGAAAGTTAAAATTACAAAATACATTGACATTTATTGAGTTTTTACTGTATATGTAGGAAGGACATTGCTAACAGCTCAGAACAAATATTTAATGAAACCATTACCAGGATTTTATGAAGTAGTGGTTCTTTTTAGTTCCTTTTTCTTTTTTGATGGCTAAAACTGAGATTCCCAGATTTACTCAACTACATAGACCTTGCACATGCAGATACAATCAAGGTGGGTTTCAAATCAAAGCTAAGATTTGGTGAACTCAATTTAACCTTTCCACTCTGCTACCTCTTTATGGGAAGACCTTTGCAAATTGCTTTCACTTTGCAAGGGAGAAGTATTTTTATGTCACACTTCAAAAGAGAAATGAGAAATGCTAATTGTTTCTCAACTATAAGATTTGTCTTTCACTCTCTCACACTCGTGTGTGTGTGTGTGTGTGTGTGTGTGTGTGTGTGTTTAGCAGTACTAAGAGCCTAAGATTTCACATTTCTCTTAGAGAAAACTAACAAACTAGCAAATATTTCCAGGGTACTTTTGTAATAGTTATAGAATTGAAGGCAATTTGGAAGTAACACTTTGAGCACTACGCTTGGTTTGTCTTGTCTCTGTATTATAGAGATTAAAAAGGAAACAGACTAGTTGGTTTCTATCCTATATAGGCGAACATTTTAAACTTAATGTGCATGTGTGTAACAGGAGTATATTAAAGTGTAGACTCTGTTTAGTATCCCTGAGTTCTGGTCCACTATTTGGTTTCTGACAAAGTCTTAAGTGATGCCAATACTGCTGATTCTTGGCTGATTCTTTAGTCTTATACCTTATTGAGGGAAAGGGCTCATATTTGACACAAAATAAGGTATTGAAAATTGTACACAAGGAATTGCATATACAGTTGGAAAATTAAGATTTGCAGAGACACCATATCCAGACAATAACAGATATTTCAGAACTGCTGTTGAATCTGTGTCTGGTCCATTTTGCTGATTTATAGCCTCCAGTAAACAATTCTTTCAGCATAGTAATTACAGCAACTATGTCAGGATTTAGTCTTCTACATGCTTGGTCCTATGGTCAGAAATGTCAAGTTGACAAGTTGTGAAAATCAAGAGCTCCTGAACCACCAAACATAGACTTATTTTCACCTGTATTTCCTTACATTTAGACACACTATTTACTTTCCCACCAGAAGCATCAGTAACAATTTAGCATGACCTGTGCTAGATGGAGAGTTTTCTTTTTTTTTCCTCATTAATTGGTATAAACTATTCAGTTTGCCCTCCATTGGGGTCTAGAAATTTTAGGGCATTGGAAGGCATAAATGAGAAAGTTTTAATTTGTTACCAGGCATTTTTCATATTTGTTTCTAGATGATAGCAATAAAATTGCAATAAGTTTTCAACATAATGAAATATTAATTTTCTGAATTATTATTAACACTGAAAAGATACAGGATATATTTGTATCTAACATTTCCTTCTTTCTTCAAAATCTACCCAACAAACCTTACACTGTTCTTAATTCTTTCAGATTCTTTATTTTATTTCAAGCAACTTTTTTTTTTACATATATATA